GGCCTCTTCTCGGGCTCTTCCTCCACACACTCCAACGCCACTGCCACCATCTTCTCCGCCACCTCCACCGGGTACGAGTCCTTCATTCTTTTGTCCACCCACCTCCTCACCCCTCCAACTCCATTCGCCACAGCCTTCCTTGCCGTCTCAATAACACTCACTCTCCTATACCCACCGCCCTCTTCGTCAACCACGTATCTCAAGGATTCCTGTCCGCTTAACAATTCCATTACCACCACGCCGAATGCGTACACGTCGCACTTCTGCGTCACCAAGCCGCTGAATTGAAGCTCCGGCGCCATGTAACCTATCGTTCCTTCAATTTTTATCGCTTTACTATTCGTCCTCACGAGGGATTTTGTATCGGAATAGGCTTTGCTGGTTTCCGTTACTTCGCCACAGAGCTGCGCCGTGCCGAAGTGGCAGATTTTAGCGTTTAAAGAATCGTCGGCGATTATAATGCTTGTGCTCTTGAGGTGATTGTGAGTGAAACCCGTTTCGAAACCGGAGCAATGGTGGATGTAATCGAGGCCGTGCGCCAGGTCCGTCACGATCTGCACTCGGGAGACCCATGTGGGAAGGACCGTAAAGCTTGGATTTTTAGGGTTTCTCAGACAATCTGCTAAACTAGCACCTTCGGTATACTCATGGACGAGGTAAATGTAATTCCCAGATATTGAAGCACCCAGAAGTTTGATCAAACTGCTATGATGGCTTCTGCAAATTACAGATAATTTCTGACACAGATCCGGTAACTCCATCTTCTGCCGCAGTTTCCGTTGGAAAATTACCACATCCTTGCCCTGAAGAGTACAACGCCAGGAGGACGAGGAAGAAGAGGCGGAAAACGGCTTTGCAAGGAAGTTTTTGGTAGCAGCACAGACATCAGAGAATTCGTAAATGTGGGTGCTCTCCGGAAGGGAGTCTCTGAGGCTAGCGAGGGAGCTTAAGCTTGAGACGGAAAATTTCGAGAAGGACTGGTGGCTGTGGTAGTAGACACCGGACTCGGTGTCCACCAGCGAGGATTCGGGGGATCTGGGTGTCCTCTGTGACGAATTCAACGGACATGGCTCTGCTACATCAATGCCTTTTCTTGATTTGCACATCGGTGCCGGAGTCAAATCAGTGACAAAGATCTTCTTAAGAAAGAAATTTGGGGCTTTTGATTCTCGTCTAAGGAGAAAAAAGAAAAGAACTTGTGGTTGTGGGGACTCGGTTGCTCTGTCTTTACCCTTTTTTTTTTTCTCAGAAACCAAACAGAGTCCTCTGTTTTTGGAGTCTTGCAGTTTGTCTTGGCAATCCCGTCTTAAAAAGACAATGTTCCCTGACAAGTGCCGTATGCAAGGGGGTCAACTGCCCACCAATCCCCTGCCAATAGCAGATGGGTTAGCCACAGGCCCACAGCGTCACCTACAGAATTTGAGTGTAATCCAAGGTACATTATATTATTATACTGTATAGTGCTTGTTAATTATCAGGCCAACACATTTGTTTTTGAATTTCAGACATTATTTGTAATTAAGTATCATTGGCATATTCTTCAAGGAACAAAGACCGAAATCAGGCCTATTGAGATAATTATGATTATAAGTACACACAAATAGATTGTAAATTTGTTTAATTTGATTAATTTTTTTTAATTTTATAATAATTGTAACTATTAATTATTTCGGAATGCTTAACAATTATTTCTATAATTATAACCATTCCCAACTGAGACAGGGAAATAACATGAGTTTTTGGAAATGACTAAAAAAGTGTTCCTTAGATGGTGATGATGTTAGGAATCTTGAATTGATCAATGCAATGTGTTTCTTCTCTGTTTCTACAAGGTGCTACATGCTAGCATGGTTATAATATTATAATTAGCAGTCTGCATTGCAAACCTAGAGTAACAGCAGCAGTACACGGCTTCTAATATATCCTTCTCATTACTAAATTAATCCATTTTTGGAATAGTGATTCCTAAGATACATGAAGTGAGAATGGAAACCTAAAATGCGTTGGAGTGGCCTCAAGTTGGATTTAATTTTGAGCTGGAAGGGAATTTTGGGAGAGTATAATATAGAGGAAGGCGAATCCGGTAACATGGCTATCTGTAAAACATATGTTTCACTCCAGAATCAGGGGACCTGCAAATCTTTGACCGGATATGAAGAAAAAAAAAATTGCATGGCTATCGGCTAGTGTTGGATAAAACTCAACATTGCATCATGATGAAGAAGCCCATTTCCATTCTGAATTAGAAGAAAATTTAGTCAGGGATTTTTTTTCTTTAATAGAAAACAGAAATTTATAGCACAAGAGACTATATCCTGTTCCGTTCCCCCCATATTGGGACAATCTGCTTCCATAGGTACCAAGGAAATGTTTGCAACAATGGTTAGAACAAAAATGGTAATGGTACAATCTGTATGGCGCTTCATTGCACAAAAATCTAAAACAGAATATTATCTGGGAATTCACTTTCCTAAAAAATGAATGGAATAGCACTATGTTTCTGCCTTTTGACCAGCAGACACTGTATGAATGTACTTACTTTGTAAGCAATGACATTCATTCCTGCAGGAGGAAATGGGCAGTAAAGCCTAAGGGACAACCAATCTTTAATAGAAGGTTGTTGTATCACTATCATGTTATAGAGATTCAATGTGGTTTGGTTTTACTGCAGGAGACTTTGCTGGCATGCTTAATTCTACAACCGCAAGCCCCTAGACCCGTACACGCCGTTTTGTAGATGAAGATAGAATGTCAGATATGTATGAGCTTACTTCTTTTTGAATGTGAACATACCAAGGAATGCTATTCCTCGGCTAACTAAACCAGCAAAGAGGAGGAGGCATATACAAAGAGTCCATGCATGCAGATCGAAGCCACTTTTCATAAGAGCCCCACAACGAGTAATCAGCCAGACTCCATAATACCTGCAACAAAGAGATTTTAGTTTAATTGTGTGATAATAGGAGAGTGTGATCTAATCTAAACATCTTGTATAAGTGTTTTCAGTTCTCTGTAATTGTGGTTATCATATATACGTTATATCCCTTTTTCTGTCCCAGTTACTGTTTTTCCTTTGACCACATTGACAATTTGAATGCTAAGATGCAACATGATCTTATTAGTCTTTGGTATTTTGTGGAGAATAATAAGTAATACCTTTCAGCATTTGCAATCACAAAAGCTTCCAAAGCCCATTTAGGGTAGCACAAATTAGATATTTTCTTCAAAATTGCACTGTCTTTTGTCTCTGTTGCAACAAGGGTGAAAACAATTGGAAGAAGAACACACCACTGCAGGAAAAAGGTAGCTTGTCAGTGTACAGGAAATTTAAGTTCGTGATCAGCAATAACACAATGTTTTTCTTATTTCTTTTATTATAAAGACTTACCAGCTGAGCTGGACCTGGTTGGAAGAAAATGGCTAATATGTAGGCTATGCCAGTGACACAGTACACTAGGCTCAGCAAGACAACATAGTTATCTGTAAAGGTAGATCTTGGGTTTGTGAAGAAATAGAACATTGAGAGATACACCAGAGGCTTGATTACCGTGTTAAAGTGGTCAACTGTATCTTTGGCCAAAAAGTAAGCCAAGCTGCTCATGCCAGATGAACTCTCTCTCCAATACTGCAATTTATCCAGTGAAAATGATCTCAAAGCTGCAATCTTACATAGAAGTGCTGAAAACAGCAAAAAAAAAAAAACACCATGGTAAGAATTCTTGTTAACCAAATCAAAAAAGAGCACATTCAATTTGAAGAAAACCTTAATGGTGTGTATTAGATAATGTTTTATTATTATAATAATAATAATTATTATTAATATTTATTTTTTAAACTTACATACTGCAATAATGGTATGGATGTAACTGGCACTCCCAAAGCTTTGATCACTCATTGTTGCCAATGATCCTAAGCAGGCTCCAGCAAGCAACAGGATTAGATAATCTACTGCTTGTAACCTAGCTTCCCTCATTCTTTGCTTGGATACCCTGAAGCATGGATGGGCATAGTGAATCTCAAAGTTCAGTTAAAAATTAAATAGAATATAATAATTGAACTGAACTCATTACTAGATAGGTAATTCGTAAGATAAAATAATAAATTTCCTGCCTCTAGGGAAAAACCACTGCAATTTAACAAGTCAAACAGTCAATGCCAAAAAGAACCAGACTCTGCACTATAGGAAGAAAAATGATCCTAAAGAAAAACAAGCTGTTTAGGGCCAGAAACTCCATTTCGAGTGCTGACTTTATTGTTTACCCATCTATTATGGTACAGAACTTTTTTTGGTTACATTGTAGTAGAGAACTTAAATCAACAAGACATTGTTTTTTATTGTGTTGACAAAGTGTAGTGAATCTTTCTGAAAATCTATTCTATGTAGCTATACGCAACCAAAATAAATTGACTAGTATTTACCTCCCAAGAAAGTATCTGTACTGCTGGAATATGCCTGGAGTTCTCCTATTTGACAAGTCTTTGGACACTAGGAAATTATGCCTAATTTTATCCCGATGAAACTCCATGTTTCCTTTGACATCTTGCCATAACTCTCCAGCAAAAGATCTTTCCTTTGCACCAGTAAGATTTGTTCTATGTTCTTGATCTACACCCACTGCAGGTGTAGCAAGCCTGTCAGCATGCTGCTGCATATCTGGGGGTACAGGGTATCGATTGTGAAGCATCCATTTGATAGGAAGCTCCTTATAGTTCACCCCTGTGCTTGTATTTGGTTCTACCATACCCTCCAAAACGTCAATAAAGTAATCTGGGGGATTAACACGTTCGGGGACATTGATCCCAAGGCTGGAAAAGTATTCTTCAGCTTTCTTTGCTGAGCCATGGTAAACAGTGAGACCACCTCTTGCCAGAAGTACCAAATCATCAAACATGTTGAACAAGGCATAGCTGAACAGAAATTTGGTCACAAATAGATAAGTAGAAAGTAAAATTAAATACTTCTGTAACTGAATTTAAGGTTAACCACACATGTACTTTATAAGTTCATTTTTTGGCAAGGATGCAATGTTAACTACACATGGGAATGACGGGATTGATGGGCAATGACTTTGCTCTCCAACAAAGACTTCTATCATGCACTTAACTTTATTGAATATTAAAGTAGCAGCACCTTAGGATACATTGTAGTTTTTTATTTTACCTAAATTCCAATCATGACTCTTGCATCCAGCTAAAAGCTAACCAAGAATTAAAATAAAATTCAAACAAAAGAAAAATGAAGATATAGAGAATTTACAAAGAAATGTGGGGCTCTGATTCATAATAATTTACCTTGGTTGATGAACCACCATGCAGATGTTTACCCCTTCAAGAGCTTCATGTCTAAGTGCTCTAAGCAGCAGCTGAGAGGATGCACTGTCCAGACCAGATGTCGGTTCATCTAAGATCAATAGTGAAGGCTCCATTACCATTTCCAATCCAACATTTACTCGCTTCCTTTGGCCTCCAGAGATACCCCGCTTCTCTACCGTTCCAACCAGGGAATCTCTCACCATCTGAAGCCCTAGAGACTCAATAACTCTTTCCACAATGAGAACTTTATCAGGCCTTGATAAATCTGCAGATAGTCTTCAAAAAGAAGAAAGTGATTATGTAAGAACAATAGTGGAATTCAATGGGAAAAAAAAATGACAGAAAAATCATCCAAAATCTCTAATCATCTGAGTGAAGCTAACATCAGAAAAGAGCATTTCATGGAAGAATATCTATGTAAGTAAAAGACTTCCCACATTAGGGCCTATACTTTCAATAATCTAGAAAGAATATGAGAAGATAATTTGAACTTTGAAGTATGAAATGTAGACATGCATAAGTGTGTATATGAAGCCATTGGAAAGTGAAAGAAGCTGAATCTGGCATACCTGCACTTAGCATTAAACTGAAGATTCTCTTCAACCGTCAAGTTTCCATGCACAATGTCATCTTGTGGAACAAAACCAATTATTTTCCTATATGAGTGGATTGATTCATCCTTTCCATTTATAAGAATTGCACCAGTCATCTTGCATCCAATTGCCTTTCCTGCCAGAGCAGAAATAAATGTTGTTTTTCCAGCACCTGATGGGCCCATGACAGCAGTAATGCGACCAGGTTTAATCTTCCCAGTTACGTACCTCAAAAGATGCTTGTCATTTGCTTTCAAAGTGACTGTAAGATCTGTAAAAGAGACCTCAATCAGGGGCCTTTTCCTGATTTCGGGATCAGTAGCCCTAGAAACTACTCCAGAGAAGGTAAGATTTTTGTTCTGCTGCTGCAGTGCTTTCTCTTTCTCAAGTTGAGCATACGCATATTTGAAAATTTGGCTATCAGTATTTATTTGTTTTCCTTTTGGCATGTGATCATCTGCTTTTGTCACTCCAATTTCAAGGTTGAAAGGTTCAAAGTTTTGACAATCATCTTCAATATCATGCATCATCTTCATCAGACCAACAGGTTCCATTTGCCTTCCTTTTGATGTCTTAGATAAGGGCGGAAACTCACTTGAAGTACTAGCATATGGTGTATTTGTATGTACATGTGGGTGTAAGTCAGAATCTGTTTCAGCATTTGTTTTATCCAAAATCTTAACTTGCTCAGGATGTCTGCTGGATTTTTTACGAGAAAATGTGCGTGATATATGAGCTTGCAATCCACTTGCACGCTTCTTAGCGGCATCTCTTGCAGCTTTCCATTTTTGACGTGCTTTTACTGTCTCCCTTGCACTTCTTGCTGCTGCTTCCCTGGTTTTAGCTAATCTCCTTTCCCGTGCAGCAATAACTTGGTCAGAACAATTGTAAATAATGAGTAGCAGAGTACTTGTGGCAGCCTGCATGAACAAGTGAATGGTGTTTAGTTTATTTGTGATGGATCCATAGTCCACAATGAACTGGGAAAATATTTATTTTTGTAAATTAGAGAAGAAGGCACGAACCATAAGTCTATGTAACCTAGAAAGGAATGATAGTGACAAGACAGAAATCAATAAAAAATTGAAATGGTTTGGGATACATGCATCAGAACAGGTAGTGTAATCATTAACATCAGCCTAGTTTATATAAGCAGGCTGAGCTAAAAAAATTGTTTTGAGTAGCTAATAAAGTGTCTTTTAATATTAGCTAATGATGCGTTGATATGGAGCCAGGCAAGATCACTACAAGTGAAAGGCTTACTATGAGCATAACTCCATAAGCATGCATATCCTGATTTGCAGTGTTCGGATTACAGGAAGTTAACCTAAAGCAGCCTGCAAGATAATGAGTATCAGTTAATGCTACAGCCAATCCACAGACCAACGAGCTCCAAATCCAAATACATGAAAGCTTTGACACTTTTGACCAAGAATTATTTTCACAGACATGAACTGATGTGGATATATTATATATACAGACAAAAATAAACAATATTGAGGAATAACTCACGTTTCTCAGATGTAGAGCCCATCCGGCAGTAATGTCTGAAAGCACACACAAAATTAATAGCATTAGGAAAAATGAATGTGTAGACATAAGCAGTTAAAATATCATCAGTACTATACATAACAACACACAGGCTATATTCTTAAATATCTAGATGTAAATATCAGAGTGGTTTGATAAGTGACTAGTTTAGAATGAACTGAAGAAGCACTACCCACTATCACAAGCCCTTTTCTGGATTGTTGTTGGGCAATAAGATCCTGCAGAACAGAACATCTCAAGGCTACTAGCAACATCAGCCCATAAATTTGCTCCCCCACAAGTATGGTTCGTCTGTCCTGGAGGCAGCTGGTAATTGTATCTGGATAAATATATAAATATTTATTTCATATGCACATGTTTTATACGCCTTCAAATGTCATTAGTAAAGCAATGTTCATAAAGAGAATGTGAACTTACGGTTCACATGTTCCGGTATCCTTATTTAGTGTTGCAAGAGGGCAATAGGAACCCAACGGGCAAGCTTCAGGAATATGGTATCAAACAGCAACACCAGAAAGGGAATAAAAGAGAAAGAACAAAAAACATTAGACATGTCAAACAAGGGTAAACATAGCATAGAGCAATACTGTGCTAGGGAATCATTAGCAAGTACAAGGTTTGCACATCACGTTAGATAGAAAAATAAGAAATACAATGGTTTTTTGATGAAGCACTACTAACAATAGTTTTTCAAGGAATTTTCAAACAATGTTTACCAACATTCATTTAGAAAAGAAAGCATTAAAACATTCTTAGGTACTCACGTATCATGCATGTAAGACCACGAGGACAGAAAAATCCCTCACAACAAGCATCACAGTCACGAGATCTTGAAGGAATTTCATGTGAATTTTGAAGGTCAACCTGCTGATTTGGGGAGAGACTACAAGCCCATCCAGGCTCACAGCCAGGAAGCCAAGAGGTTAAATTACAGTTCTTGTTAGGTTTTAGATAATTGGGACTCCCAGAGCCTTCAAAGAAAGTATTGAAGTAGGCTTTCATCTCTGCTGCTGAGCAAAAGCGCCGGGCGACATTTTCTGTTTAAACAGTAAACCTTAACTTCAACATTCAAGAAATAGGAACAAAAGCAGAAACACACTTACTCATAACTAAACTCAACCAACCAATTGCCAGCTTGGTTTATGTGGTTTACCCAGCTCAAAAGTTCCACTTCTTAATCATACCTCTATAATACAGCTCCAGTCTTGCCATTGAAAAAACAAAATAAAAAACCTACAGCTCCTCTCTCTCCATCTCTATAGAAGTAGCAATAACTATAAAGTTTAGCAGATAGAACACTGAAGCCTAAGCTTCGGAAGTTAACAACTTAGGCTTGGGCTAATGGTCTTACAAGAGGGAGAGGTCAGTGGTTCAAATATTTGCCTCTCCCTTGACTCCCGGATGTAGCAAAAGAAGGGGAAATTGTTTTCTCCCTGTATTTCTATGGCAACACTATAAAGCAAAACGCTGGATTCTCTGCAATTATATATAATGGTACCTTTATATTTTTGAACACACGAAGCCAAGAAATCCAAATTGGAAGAGAAATTAAATGCCTTATTCCAATCAGCATCCCTGAAGAAAATAAAAGAAACTAACAGTTAAAAACTAAAACCCTTCCACCATTTCGAGCCTAAAGTAGCTAATTCATCTTTTGGCTATAATGTTCATTTTCTCCATGACAAGAGACAATATTTTTTTTAATTAGCACTTAGCAACCATAACAAGAAACTAATAGAGTACAATTGTACAAATCATTACACTTCAGTTCATTCTGATCCTTTTTCAAGTCTAATGTTTCTTTTTAGTTTCAACATCAATTTTCACAGCATTCAAACAGGGGAATAACAAAATTTCTAAGAAAACAAAAGGTAAAAGGAAGAAAATTTACGGGTCCCTAATGCAGAAATTGGAGTGGTTGCTGATCTGCCGACTGAGAACTGAAGTGAGATTGGAAAGCGTGCTATAAACAAACTGTGTCATAACTTGAACAGCAGGGTCGTCTACTTGACCATTGCCACTCAAATCTTGGCACTGCACCATGTTCACCCAGAAGCTCAAAACCACAATGACCCAGATCACAGCTGAGCAAAAAGTACAGATTTTTAGCTTCTTTGTACCCATCATCAGCATTAAAAACAATCCTTGAGAAAATAGCAGCTAAAGAAAATGTGAATAGTGGGGATATAGAGAGATCTGGGAGGAATAAAACTGTGTGTTGGATACGGGAATTGTTCCTGCGTAAGTTTGGCTGAGAGAAGAACTATGTGCTGTTGAGGGTCCAAATTCATGTTAAGTACCATCCAAAAAAATTAAAAAAAAAAACACCATTTAAAGCACTTTGGAGGGATGCAGAATGCAAGATTGCCAGAAATGGTAGGACCCATAGACCATGCATTAACGCCGTGATTAGTGGTCGGCTTTACTTTCTAATGACATTTTGTGGTTCTACCGCTTGTTTTGGAAAGAAAAGCACAAAGCTTTGGAATAATGTTCATGATTCGTGCAGATCATTCTTAACCAAAAAGAATAAAATAAAATAATATATATATAATATTAAAAAAGAGAGAAAGTTAAGGGAAAGTTTTCCTTCAATTAACTACTAGTAATTGTTGGTTTTGTCTGTTGCTTTTATTTCAAGTTTTATATGTACCATTGATTTTTCATTAAATATAGAAGATAAATGAGTAATGAGAAGTTAATAATTTAATCCTTTTTTTTTTTTTTT